TCCCTCTTCTGGACATGTCCAAACCACTGTCCCTCTTCTGGACATGTCCAAACCACTGTCCCTCTTCTGGACATGTCCAAACCACTGTCCCTCCTCTGGACAATCAAAACCACTGTTCCTTCTCTGGACATGTCCAAACCACTGTCCTTCCTCTGGACATGTCCAAACCACTATCCCTCTTCTGGACATGTCCAAACCACCGTCCCTCCTCTGGACATGTCCAAACCACTGTCCCTCCTCTGGACATGTCCAAACCACTGTTCCTCCTCTGGACATGTCCAAACCACTGTCCCTCCTCTGGACATGTCCAAACCATCTCAGTGTGTCCTCTCTAACTTTATCTCCCAGTTGTTCAACCTGTGCTGTACCTCTGATCATCTCATTCCTGATCTTCTCCATCCTTGTCTCTCCTAGGAAGAACCTCAACATCTTAATTTCTGACACTTCCAGTTCTGTCTCCTGTCTTTTTGTCCATGTCTCTGTCTCCAGACCATACAACATACGTAGCTGGTCTCACCACTGTCCTGTAAACTTTTCCTTTGACCTTTGCTTCCTTGCTTCTTTCCCTAAACATTTAGATATTTTGAGAAGTACATATCTTGTAAAATATTTCATTAGAAACAAATTTTTGTTTAAATTGTAATGCCGGTCTTTTTTAATATTCAAACAAGAAAACAACACCATGACAGCATTGTGGAAATTGATAAAAACAACAGAAATAACTCTTTAATTAGAAAATGCTCCCTCCACAGAGTGAACTGGTAGCGGCAGGCAGAGAAAGTTATCTGAAGAATGTCGTACCTGAATTATTTTTTGAGTAACTGACATTTTCCCCGTTAGTGGTCCATCCCTAACAGTTGGTGAAGACGCCTTTTTGGGTGTGACTCTCTCGACAATGCTCTGATTTATAAAACATTCTGAAACACAAACAGGTTTTTGCTAACTGGTTTTAAAACTTTAGTTCCAAGAAGTTTACAGTCTGGGCTCTAATATCCCCGGAAGCTGACGGGTCAACGTAAAGACGGGTTCAGCATTTTGTGAGCAAAACTCCCGTCATGATTCTCACTCAAAGCAACAGACACCTGGGAAAAGGTTGAGTGGTGGGTGGAGATAAAGCAGGTTATGTTTTATTGCTTTTAATTTTGAATTCCAGCGCTGATGTCAGATTAAGCTGCACACCGGGTGACCTATTTTCAAACTAGTGACAGCGAGTGAAAGGATTTTGATGTCTCAGCTTTTGAGTTCGTCTTTCTAATCTAAATTTATCTTCTCAAGCGTAGACTTTTCTCTAACAAATTAGGTCCCATGAGGTTTATTAAAAGTCTTTTGGGGTCGGATACCGTTTAAAAAAATGTTGGCAAATTTTCCTACAATAATTTGTTTTTATATGATGTTCTTGGACAAATTAGATCGTTGTGCTGTCCTGCAGATTTTTATTTCTTTTTTTAGCTGTATCTGGAAATAGTTCCATTTTGGCAGCAGCTGTCTCATTTCAGGGCCCAGGAACAGAAAAGGATGTTACCTGTCTTTGTGTCTTAAAATTTTTACTTATAACCTGAGGCCTGGATTAAAAACTTCAGCTTTAATGTTCAAATGTTTCTTTATATCATTAAGCTGAAATGAACCATTTTTTGTGCCTTGATTGTGTTTGTACCTTTGTGTATTCAAAATCTCAACAGGGGGTGAACCGACATAAATGCCTACAGATTAAATAAAATAAACAAAACAAGGACAAAAAAAATGTTAAAAAATCCACAACTCTTGAAGATTTACTATAAAAGCTAAAAAAAAATTAAAAGTAACCTTAGCAATAAAAGTCAGAAAGTTTGTTTATTTCAAGTTTTTCTTGGTTGCAGTTCACAAATGCATTTTTCTAACACATTTATGGGGAAATAATGAATATTTCCAACAGTATGAAATCTAATACCAAGAAGCATTATTACACTGAAGAATCAACCAAACACTAGTTTCATTTCTTTTTTACTCTGTTTATTATGTTCATCATCTCAGCACCGTTGACTGCAGCGTGCAGTCATGCACTCATGTTGAAGAACCAGAACGCACTCGACGAGCTGAAATTACTGAGAAGGCGTTTTCATGAAGAGCTTGTTCGTACTTTGTTGTTTTACCTGGTGACGCACGTGCTTTCCTATCAAACTCATATTATACCATATGAATTCAATGAACACCTGCAAACATTCCATTTTTCTCTGACACAATATAATGCCTTTCTGTTTAGTGACATTGTGAAGTAAATGTGATTTTTTAATTTTCTTATTGTCTTTTCTTGGTATCTTAAAAATATCCTGAAGGTTTAGATGGTGATTTTACAACTAACAAAAAAAAATTCAAATTAACAAAATATGATAAACAGCATGAATACATTTTCACTGTGTGAACTGCATTGACAATAGTCTTACAGCCAAAGATCATGTACATATTATTAGCTACAGTTTGTTTTATATTAATAACTTTTATTTAGTTTTATTTTATCTTTTGATGCATTCTGCCTAGAGGTGAATCATGATTTTTGCACAACAGCCTCACAGTCACTATTTACTCAAAAATGTATCTTTTTTGTCTTGTAAAAGTGACTCAGGGACAGTGGCTCAGTTGATAGAACTGCTGCCTCTCAACGAGAAGGTCGCTGGATTGAATCCCGGTCCAGGGTTCTTTCTGGGTGGAGTTTGCATGTTCTCTCCGTGCATGCACTGGTTTTCTCCGGGTGCTCCGGTTTCCAAAAACATGCATGTTAGGCTGATTGGTAACTCTAAATTGTCCCGAGGTGTGAGTGAGAGAGTGAATGGTTGTTTGTCTCGTTTGTCTCTATGTGTCCCTGTGATGGACTAGAGACCTGTCCAGGTGTCCCCCACCTCTCACACAGTGATTGCTGGACATGGGCACCAGTTACCCCCACGACCAGAAAAGGAAAAAGCAGGTAAAGATGATGGATGGATGGATGGATGGATGGATGGATGGATGGATGGATG